TTCTCAGACTTTCCAGAGGCGGTCAATATAGACCGCCTTTGGTCCTAGGTTTGTAAGTACTGACAATAAAAATACATATTCATGGCAGTACTGCTTATGCAATTTTAGCCATGCGCACATAGTCAGATGGGCATTGGCCGTGGGTATTGTAATTTTGTATCAGAGCTTGAACTTTCCATTATTGACCTAACTGAAATCATGTTGTACTTCGGCATCAGACCAGAGTAGCATCATTGCGCAGAACGCCTTTTTTCCTGATGCATCTCTGCACATAACCTCTTCATTACAAAATGGCATGACATTTGACGTATTCTCTCGGAGATCGGTAATTCAAAAACGCGCAATAAGAATCGCCAAAACCTTCCCAAACACGACTCGCAGAAAATTTTGAATTGTATTTAGGCATTTTTTGATACTGTAGTTAAAAAAACCGCTGTATTTTAAATCAACAAGCTCGGCTTTGCTGGTAGTTTAGTTGGCAACTATGTGGGCTAGCTGCTAGCAGAAAACAAGCTAAATCTAGTGAAAAAAGCACTGGTAACCGTGGTGCTGCATCACCTACAAGGGTGGCGGGGAAAGGACAGGTTGCTAATTTTATTCGAACAACGCGTCCTTAAAGGGAACTTTTAAACGCTGCTGGACTGGGCTTTGCTTTCACCTAAACTATGCTATTAGGCTGGATCATGAAGAAAGGAAGAGGGAGAGTCGTCTAGAGACCGGGTTCATTCGCCACGGCGCACCGGCTTGCAGTAGAAAACCCAGCCGCTTCCTCTGACTGAAACGACTTCATTTTTTAAAAATAAACCTTGTGGAGTTCGCCCTCTGGAGTTCGCCCTGGAATTCGCTCTTGACACTCACGCTCGAATAATTTTTGCATTGCTTTGCTACCTAACAGCACGTCTGGCTTCCAGCCGTTCCATGCTGCTGTTTTCTCACTACCTGCCAAACGCAATTAGTTCGGCACCTAGCACGATAGAATTGCCTCTCAGCACATCAAGAATGTACAGTAAAAGCTCGTTAATTCGGATTTCACGGGACCGGAAGAACTGTCCGAATTAACCAAATGCTGAATTAACGAATGAACAGGGAAAACAACATTTAAAATCAAGCTGCAGAATCATACCTTTATTTGTTGAAGTATTTTGTAACTTTCGTGTGCGTTTTCGCGCAGATTCCGGCTGACATCACAATTTTTCTTTTCTAACTGTTCCAAATGGCCAACAGCACGCAAGCTGTCAGTGAAGCGTCCTCTAATATTAACAGCGTCTCCGAGACTTCCCGTGAGGTGCGATGAGGTCGCGGCTGTATCTCCTCGCATGATTATTCGTCGGAATCGTGGTCTTCATGGGCGCCCGTGACATCATTAATAATCTCTTGATCGGTCTTTTCATTCTTTTTTTTGTAGGGTAGCATACCGGATATTAGCATCTGGTTAACCTCCCTGCCTTCCTTTTTTTTTCGTTTCTCTCTCTTGATCGGCCAGGAGACCACTCGTGGCGACACCACGAGTGGTCTCCTGTTGAAAAATGAGTGAGAGAAACAAGCTGCTCATGCATTTGGTGTTTTCTAGCACTTTAGCATTGATACCATCAATACCAACTGATGATGAATTTTTCAGCGAGTCAATTACTTTCACTATGCCTTGTGGTTCAAACATAATACTCGGCATGGGGGGGGGGGGTTATCACAAGAAGGGACAGTAGGAAGGTCATTCAAGGGTTCACGTGTAAAAAGAGCGCTAAATGCGCTGTTTAATATATCTGGTACTTCACGGTCTGGAATAAGGAGTTCAGAGCTATCGCACAGGGAAACAGGGTTAGATGCACTGGGATTAATCGTTTTCCAGAAGCGCTTTGGATCAGTGCGTAGCATAGAGGGTAATGTGACAGAGAAGAAACTTTGTTTAGCGTGGGCGGCTGAGGATTTGTAATCGTTTTCAGCGGTGTAATACTTTTGCCAGGCTTGATTCGTGTTAGAATTTTTAGCTGCCCGGAATAATCGCTTTTTCTTATTGTTTAAGCGTTCAAGGGATGTATTAAACCATGGAGAACTCGGGCGTTCCGATATCGTTTTAGTAGGAATATAAAGGCGTATTAGGCGTTGCATCTCTCATTTAAAAAGAAGCCAGTTGGATTCAAGTGAACGCTGCGCAAAGCTGGCTGAAAAATTTTCAAACAACGTTGATAAATCCCGGTTCATGCTGTCGTAATCCTCTTTATCGTACAACGTAAGTGTTTTTCTGGTTTTTTTTACTTGTGTGTAAACTGCATGAGAATGAGGCATGCACAACCAAATGATCACTCAGGCCACGCAGGTAGGTGATAGGGGAGACGTTCTTAGGGTGTGGAGTTAAAACAAGATCTAATATGTTAGACGAGTGGTCGGTAACACGCGTGGGCTGAGAGACCAGTTGGGACAATCCGAAGGTGAGGCAAGTGTTGATGAACTCGCCAGGGGGGGGGGGGGTATTTTTTGATGACATAGAAGCAGTATCAGACCAATCTATACTGGGAAAATTAAAGTCGCAAAATAACAATATAGGACTATTTGGGTGGGTCGTTCTTAGTTGGTTCAAATTTTCATGAAGCAGACGTGAAAAAGAACTGTCAGTACTAGGAGCGCGATAACAAACTCCGATCAGGATGCGCGGGTGGGATGCGTGGCAGCAGAGCCAAACACTGCGCTGAGTAAGTCCACTTGATACAACTTTCCAGCTTCTGAGTATAGGATCATTCGCTCTAGCAGGTGCTTGCAGTACTTAGACTTCACGTAGCGAATGATACCCTGGTCCATCGCCTGAAGAGCAGACGTAGTGTTTGGCAGCAAAAAAACTACTTTGATGCTCTTCAGTTCGACTGTACAGTTATGGGCACTGCAGTTCTCAACAACCATAATTATCTTGCGGTCCTTCGACGTGAAGTGCCGGTCCAACTGCTGCAGCCAGCCGCGAAAAATGTCCGATGTCATCCATGCCTTCCTGTGTGCTGTGTACTTGACAGGGAGGCTTTCGACGTTCTTAAAACAACGTGGCTTAAGCGCCTTCCCGACGACAAGTATTGGCAAGCGCTTCGTGCCAGTCATATTGGCGGCAAGAAGCACAGTTATCCTTTGCTTGCACTTCTTGCCACCAATGTACGCGTCCCCTTTGAAAGTCACCGTCTTGTCGGGCAGAGCTCTGAAAAATAGAGCAGTTTCATCTGCATTGAACACGTCACGTGGTTCATATGCGGCGATGTGCTCCAGCAGCTTCACATTTCTCCACTCGGTGGTCACGCTTTCGTCAACACTGGCCTTTTCGCCACACACACTCCTGAAGACAAGTTCGTGTCTCTCTCGAAACCTCGCAAACCACGCTTCTGACGCTTTTAACAATTCAATGTTCATCATTGCAGCGTACTTCTCACCTTGCGCCATGAAGAAAGGTCCGCTCAAAGGCAGATGCGCGTTGCGACAGTCAGTAATCTACCAGAGCAAAGCTTCTTCGAGCTGGGGATGAGCTGCGATTAGCAACTGCTTTCTAGAGGCGTGAAACTTCTCGTTTTCGAAGGCTTGTCGAATCTGTTGTTCATTTTTCACGTACGTTCCCAACGTGCTCTATTTCACGTTGTACTTGGTCATAACCTGCTGTCGCGATTCGCCGTTTTTCAGTGCTTCCAAAATTTTCACTTTAGTCGCCAAGTTCTTCGCGTCGTAGTTCTGCCGCTTTTTCGGCGTTGCCATCACTGTAGCGCACGAAGGTGGTGGCATGCAAATACGGTCACAATGAAAGAAAAAGAGAACTCCGCAAGAATAGATGGTTCCGACACGACAACACAAGGGAAAATGGCGTCGGAGGCGCTGAGTGGAGAAGAAAGAAGACGCCGACGTTCGGTGACGCTGCGATCGCCCCCACAAGTTGATGATGATGGCCACTAGTTGATGCTGATGATGGTGTTGCCACTCAGGTTTCGGTTTCACTCCAGTGGTGCCAGCGCTGCTTTATCACACTTTTGTGTAGCAGCAGCCGTCAGCATTTGTCTGAATTAAGCGGTGCGGAGCCGAATTCCAACGAAATAACGAAGGTTTGGTCCCATAGATTAACATGCACTTTGGCCGGGACCAATAGAGCCGTCCGAATTATTTGAATTTCCGAATTAACGGGTGTCGAATTAACGAGCTTTTACTGTATAAGAAGAAAGCCAAAAACAACCTTAAAGTTTAGAGTTAGCATCACCTAAAATGTTTTTCAGTTATTTATTTCAATAGGTCAATAAAAACGTCAAAGCATTTCCTCCTTGACACTGACTTGCATCTTAGCAGCTCGAAGAGACGGTAATTAACGCCACCTATTAGAGACCACCTCTTGCCGGCTACACGAGGTAAGATCAGCTGGAAACTGAAGAACCTTATTTTCAGTTGTTTTGTTATTACCTATTTTTCGGGCTTTCAAAGTGAAAAAGCAGGTCTCTAAACCCAACAGGTCTGTCAACATAGCTATGTGTCTGGGAAGACAATACAACTGAGATAGACGAACACAGAGTTCCTATTCAGGGGGAAGCGAAGGTATGTGGCAGTTCCTCCCCAACCCGTGCATACGCCTATGTAAGTACTCGTATGTAAAAGGTGCCAGCGAATGAAACTTGTAGCTTTCAACGATTTGCCAGTGCTTACAAGCGGTAATATTGAAGAAGTTTAAGATCGGGCTTAAAAAACTAGCACAAAACGCACAAGGAACAAGAAAGGAAACGAAGTGCTGTCGATTTCTTTAAGGGAAAAACGTTTATCAGACGTGACAAAACACAAAATATACTGCACAAAAAAGATCAAAGTTACTGCTGTTGACTGTGTTGTCAAAAAAATGACAGCTCTTTCGTAGTTTGCGTGTCCTTGTTTTCCTTCCTTGTCCATTCTGCGCCAATTACTGCAGGCAACAGTTAACTTTCGAAGCAGCTAGGTCTGTTATCGAAGCAGCGGGACAGACCGTTCGTGAGTCGGGGTACTAAAACATTCTACGATCGCAGGCACGGGGAAGTTCGCGAACATCATGAAGGAGGTGACTGTGCCTGTGATTGACAACCCGATGTGCCAAAACCTCCTACGCCAGACGAGGCTGGGCCGCTATTTCCGTCTTCATGAAGGGTTCATCTGCGCCGGCACAGAGGATGGTGTTGACTCCTGCAAGGTAGGTAGTCAAAACTCTGAACAGTGTGCCTAGGACAGACTTGTAACAACTGTATGTCAGCCGAGCGCTTGAACTCATAACCGACCGCATCTGCATATTCAACTGCGTTCTGGGCGCAGGTTAAGGTTTTGTAAATGGTAAATGTTAAATACGTGCAGAAGAGGAGGAAGGAAAAAGAGCACAGATAAGCACTGGTCTGTGTTATTTTCCTTCGTTTTCGTCTTGTGTGTGCTGTTCGAGCAAGATCAACTTCATAGGTGATCAAGAAGCTTTTGCAATCAGTCGGAGCAGTTGACGGCACAATAGTTATGCTGTTCGCATTGTGTAATGCCAGGTTGTTCCTTTGCTGTTCGGAAGCGCTTTACTGCTCATATTAGCGTGAATCCTTTCCCGACATCAAGCTTATTTAAGGCAAGTCTGCAAAGAAGTCCCAAGAACCCGCGTGGCTCAGTGGCAGAATACTGAGCTGGCAAGCAGCAGACATGAGTTTGAGCATAATTATGTCCTTGGTGTTTTCACTTTGTTTTCTTTCTAGCGGCGAAGCTCCTTATGCCGTGGGTTGTGCGTCCTGGCTTTGTAGTATGTTGTAGTAGCGACCTCTTGTCTAGTCTTTAAGATGTCTGCTCGATAGCGGTACTTGTATATGATCGATGCATGATGAAAAGATGCGAGCTGGTAGTATTCACTGGATGGACAATAACACGGATGGGACGGTTGCACGTACAGACGCAAAGGACGGACGGAATCATGGGAGACTGACGGACGCCTAGGCCCACTCATCATCATTCACTCCAAATATATGCTGTGTGTTTTCAATATTTCGTGTGATAGTAGATACATACATCGTCAGAAGTGGCGGCGCACAATCATGGCGCCGTGTGTCATCAGAGTTCTGATCTCATAACAGCTTCTCCTGTAAAATATCATTGTCATGTTCTCACTTTTGATTCTATGGAACCATGCATTTTTCACAACTTCTGCTTTACGGGTGTGGTATCATATGAAGCTTTCGGTCGTCACTGAATGTGTTCTTGCAACGGAAGGGGAAACCGCCACCCATGGCAACCAGTGACGACGTCATTGTTGATTGAAACATTTCACAGCACAACGCTCACAGAAGGACAAGTTCGTATTCATAAAAAATATGCGCTGTACACCAGCAAGCCCGTTCAAGAGCAAAAATGGTAATTGAGAGCAACTCTAAACAAACGAACGCTGTGAGTGGTTCTTTTAATTGCATCTGGCCAATACCAACGCAGCACCATCCGCGGAGAGGTCGGAGGAGGGAAAGTACAGAAGAGGGGCGCCTTTAATCACAAATGTCGTAACTTTGCGGAGTTTAGCTGGTTTTATTCAAGCGGTGACCGTAGCAATGCATGTTCTCGCGGCCGCAGTGCACACAACCCTCCTCCGCTGGAGGAGGGTTGTCAAAGTGGGTTTCGAACGCAGGGCCAGTCTCTTGTAGTTAAAACGTTATATACTTACTGTGGATGGAGAGCAGAATGCGCATTTACACGTGCACAAAGAACTGAAAGCTTCTACGGGGCAGAGAAAGCAGCCTTCACATCGGCCTTGTCGTCTATATTTTTCAAATTGTGAGCCGTTAGCGATTCTGACTTTGTATAGTCAGCGAGCAGCAGTCTTGCCCTCATATCGAATCCTTAGATGACCGAAATCTTCACGTTCCTCAGCGCATTGCTCGCAAAATATTGCCTTTAGCCTAAGGAGTGGCATCCTTTACAAGATACCCCACCGTGGTGGTCTAGTGGCTAAGGTGCTCGGCTGGTGAACCAAAGGTGTGGGATTGAATCCCGGCTGCGGCGTGTGCATTTCCAATAGAGGTGGAAATGCTGTAGGCCCGTGTGATCAAATTTGGGTGCACGTTAAGGAACGCCGCGTGGTCGATATTTCCGGAGCCCTCCACTACGGCGTCTCTCATAATCATAGGGTGATTTTTGGATGTTAAAGCAAACATATTGCTACGTGCCGCGACCATTTTGCCCAGGAACCTGCTTCTGAACGCCGCTACTCCCGCTCTCCATCCCCCCAACGTCGCCAGTCTCGTTCTCCACAGCCCCGCCGATCATCTTCCCCCGCCTTCCCACGAGGTTCTCCGACGGAAAACTAAGCGTTGCAGCCCCCAGAGGTGGCGCTGCATCGCTCGGACTGACCGAAAATCCTCTTTTGACGATACCGACAAAACGGAACCTCATAGACGTACAAGTAGACGGCCTACATGTCACTGCTCTTGTCGACACCGGCGCCCAACTTTCCGTGATGACGAGTGATTTTCGCCGCAAGCTCAAGAAGGTTCTCACACCTGCGACCACCCAGTTCGTCCGTGTTGCGGATGGTGGCATAGCATCTATCGTTGGAATATGCTCCGCTCGTGTGAGCATTGCGGATCGACACACAGTTGTTCTCTTCACCGTCCTTGATAAATGCCCCCACGACGTAATCTTAGGCCTCGACTTCCTATCCGCGCATTCTGCCCTCATAGACTGTTCGACCAGTACGCTCCGTCTACACTTGCCCGCAACAGAACCTCTTACACAACGGCCGAGTCGCCTCTGCACAACGGGACACGCGCGCCTCCCTCCACAGACACTGACCTACATAGAGCTCGTCTCAATACCACCAGTTTCCCGACGGTGACTATGTTCTGACCCCTATCACCGATGTTCTCATAAGCCATGGCATTACATTACCGCACACCATTCTGTCCGTCGCAGGAAATTCTACGTGCCTCCCAGTTGTCAACTTTAGCTTGACACCTCAAGTTTTGCCGCAAGGGATCTCTTTAGCGTTGCTCTGCACCTTAGAAGACAATGCGGTAGATGTTTTCGCGATGGCCGCCCCTTCTGAACCCCACGCTCAACATCAGTCTGCCACTTGCTCCGACAGCGCTATTACTTCGATGATCGCTTCCAACTTAACACCGGCAGCAGACTGATGAGCTCCACCGGGTTCTGCTGTCCTACATCGACGTATTTGACATCAGCGGCCGTCCGTTGGGGAAAGCTACCGGCATGAGCCACCGCATAAACACTGGTAATGAGCATCCTATTCATAGGCGCCCATATCGGGTGTCGGCGGCCGAGCGTCACATCATCCAAAGTGAGGTCGACAAAATGCTCGCCAAGGACATCATTGAGCCATCTTGCAGTCCTTGGGCTTCTCCTGTAGTGCTAGTCCGCAAGAAAGACGGTGCATGGCGTTTCTGTGTGGATTATCGACACCTAAACAAAATTACCAAAAAAGACGTCTACCCTCTGCCACGAATAGATGATGCGCTTGATTGCCTCTATGGGTCCCACTATTTTTCCTCCATAGACCTTCGTTCCGGCTACTGGCAGATAGAGGTAGATGAAATAGACCGTGAAAAGACGGCATTCATCACCCCCGATGGCCTATATCAGTTCAAAGTCATGCCCTTCGGCCTTTGTAACGCTCCAGCCACCTTCGAACGAATGATGGACTCCCTGCTCAGAGGATTCAAATGGTCCACATGTTTGTGCTACTTGGACGACGTCATCGTCTTTTCACCAACGTTTGAAACTCACATAGAGCGCCTCTCAGCCATCCTGGGAATCTTCCGTCGCGCTGGCCTGCAGCTCAACTCGTCCAAATGTCACTTTGGACGCCATCAAATCACAGTGCTTGGCCATTTAGTAGACGCCAACGGTGTACAACCAGACCCGGCAAAAATCAGCGCCGTCAAAAACTTTCCTGTACCACGATCTGCGAAGGATGTACGCAGCTTTATCGGACTATGCTCCTACTTCCGACGCTTCGTGAAAAATTTTGCGCACATAGCGAGGCCGCTTACGCAGCTCCTCAAGAAAGAAGTCCCGTTTTCATGGGGCTCCGAAGAGGCTTCTGCGTTCTCGACTCTCGTCGCTCTTCTCACTACCCCTCCGATTCTGGCACACTTCAACCCTGCTGCTCCTACGGAAATCCGTACAGATGCAAGTGGGCATGGCATTGGTGCAGTGCTGGCTCAGAAACAACATGGCCATGATTGCGTTATTGCATATGCCAGCCGCCTCCTATCCGCCCCTGAACGTAACTATTCGATAACAGAGCGTGAGTGCTTAGCTCTTGTATGGGCGGTGGCGAAATTCGACCTTATCTATACGGACGCCCATTTTCGGTAGTTACCGACCACCACGCACTCTGCTGGCTGAACTCTCTGAAAGATCCATCAGGCCGCCTTGGTCGCTGGGCTTTGCGCCTGCAAGAGTTTTCCTATTCGGTGGTCTACAAATCTGGCCACCTACACCGTGATGCCGATTGCCTCTCCCGGTACCCTGTCGACGATCCTGAGGACACTGACGAGCCCACGGAGAACTCTATCTTGTCAGTGTCCGACTTCCTTAATATTGGGGAAGAACAGAAGCGTGATCCAGAGCTGCTTGACATCATCAGCCGTATGGAATCCTCCACAAATGATGCTTCCGTCCGCTACTTTGTCATTCAAAAGGGTGTGCTATACCGTCGCAATTTCCGACTAGACGGGCCCGACCTTCTCATTGTTGTGCCTAAGCATTTGCGCCGCTGTGTTCTCACCGAACTTCACGACGCTCCCACGGCTGGACACCTTGGCGTATCCCGCACGTACGAGCGCGTCCGGCGCCGTTTTTTCTGGCCAGGCCTTGCTCGTTCGGTACGCCGATACGTCGCCACATGTGACCTATGCCAACGTCGTAAGACACCATCGCTGCTACCCGCTGGCCATCTTCAACCAATTGACATACCCGCGGAAACCATTTTACCGTGTTGGGTTAGACCTGCTTGGTCCTTTTCCCACATCAACCTTGGGAAACAAATGGATAGCCGTTATCACAGACTACGCTACACGCTACGCTATTACGCGAGCTCTACCGACCAGCTGTGCAACCGACGTCGCTGACTTCTTGTTACGGGACGTTATATTGATTCACGGTGCGCCGAGACAGCTTCTCACAGACCGTGGCCGTACATTTTTATCCCAAGTCATCGCCGACATTCTGCGTTCTTGTTCGACGCAACACACACTGACAACCGCTTACCACCCTCAAAGCACCGGGACGGTGCCTCCGCCGCCGGGGGTCATGCTACGTGCCAGTGCATGGAGCTGAAGAAGACGAAGCAGATAGACTGGCACGAGCTAATCTGTGTGGCTGGCGCTGCTCGCCTAACCGTCTGTAAATACATCGGTGACTACCCCTCTGAGTCAGTCTCCTTCACGTAACAATATCATCACCACCATCCTTTACAACACAAATGCTCCCGGTAGCAACAAAGGTTTTCTCCTTGTTGTACCAACCGACATGCGGGATAACATCCATGTTGCGTGCCACGACGAGTTCAAGTCGGGACTTTTCGGCTACTCGCGGACTCTTGCCAGAGTGTGCCAGCAATCCTATTGGCCCCGACTTTAGACCAGGGTACGCCGCTACGCGCAAAGCTGCCGCCTGTGCTAGCGTCACAAGACGCCACCTTTGAAACCTGCGGGCCTTCTCCACCCGAATGCATCCTCACGGTCAGCCTTCGACCTCGTGGGAATGGACCTTCTAGGGCCCTTCATTTGGTCGGCCACTGGAAACAAAATGATTATCGTGCGAACCGATTACATGACCCGTTACACTGAGTCAAAGGAGTCACCCCGTGGCACAATATCTGAAGTTGCGCAATTTTTCGTGCACCACATCTTCCTACGCTTTGTACGGTTTGGCACGCAATCATGTGTGATTAAAGGTAGAGGAACACAATTTATGGCGCATATGCTGGAAGACATTTTCGGAGTGAGCTACACAACTAATTGAAAAACTGTATATCATCCACAAACGAATAGACTGTTGAAGAGGCCCAACAAGACCATAGCAGACATGTTGTTCACAAGAACATAGCAGACGTGCAGCACAAAACCTGCGATGTTATTCAACCCTACGCCACCTTCGCATGCAAGACGCGTCCACAAACAAGGCGAGAAGGTGAAAATCGCAACGTACGAAGCACACTTGACTCTATGCTGCCGTATCATAAAAGCAATGCGCTTGCTGCAGAAGCCAAGAAATACGCGCAGTAAGCCAAAGAGGCTCGTCAACTGGCTCGCGTAAACATCTATCACCAACAAGACGCAGATGCGCGACGTTACCACCTTCGCCGTCGAAATGTCGCATACAATACTGGCGAATGAGTGTGGGTGTGGACTTTGACGACCACGCTTGTCTGAAAAGCGACTGAGCCAATACTTCGTAGATAGAGTTACTGGCACGTCGTATAACTTGGTATGGTACGAAGTATCACCAGACGGCACAGTGTCTTCACGTCGACAACTTCGACCCAAAACTACATGTCATACGACTCGAGCCATGCTACGCACAGTAGCCTCTCTTTTCAAGTTGTGTTATCGTGTGACAGTGATATTTTGTGGTGATATTTTTTTCTAGTTGTCAGTTGGTGTTTTCGTGTTAGCGCATGTTGCAAGTGCTGGTGCGCCCCCTTTCATTTTTTCTGTGCTCCCTCTGATTTCCTGTGTCAGCACGTGTTGTATATTTTTTTTTTCGTTTTACTTGCAAAAATCGGGTCGATACTTTTCAAAAGGGGGACTAATTCCAAATGGCTTCATGTAAAACAGGACGAACAAGTTGACTGAGCCGCTTCTGAGCTAAACGAGCACTAATACGCAATGTTGTCTTGAGCGTGACAATATTGATCACCCACAAAGGTTTATATTCTACAGCGTCGAGACAATGCTTTTTCAGAACTGTGTTCAGCACTTCATTATTGAAGCAACATTGAGTCGGTGAATTCACTTTCATTACAAGTGTGATGCACATTTTTTGTTAACTTAATTAGCTGTGAGGTGCCAAGTGTTCATAAAATACTTTCGCGCAGGGTGATGGTGGTGGACCCTTGTCGTGCTACACTCCAGATGGCCGCTACCACTTGGCTGGCCTAGTCGCCTGGGGCATAGACTGCGGCACACCGGATGTTCCTGGCGTGTACGTGCGCGTTGCCAAGTACCTTGACTGGATCTCCGAGGTTACTCGCCTCCCCATCTCTGAATTTTACCCCAAGTGATCGATCACAAAGCAGGCATTTCTCTCTTTTTCTGACGCCTCTGTTTTTAGCCGCACTGCTGGCTCTTTTATCCTAACTTTACCCACCTATGTGAGGCCCGCGATCATCACGGGCGCATTGTCAGTACAGTCTTGTACATAATTTTAATAAACTGAGCACCTTTGTGTTTTAAAGATGATAGTCTTTCTTATGGACCTTCAACACAAAAATTTTGGTCTGGCTGTATGACTGTCTGGCTGTCTGTCTGTTAGTGGACTTGTATGTTTCTCTGCCGAAACGATACCCAAAATGGTCAAAATCCAACCCCAATCGCAGCGCCTACCAATATTATTCAAGTTTTAATATTCATACTTGTGTGATTGTCGAACTAAAAAGCAATTATTCGACATATCTGAGGCAAAACAACACGCCAATATTATGTATGTATCCTTCAATTCTGGATAAGGCATACATAAGTAATCGTAAGGACCATAGCGTTTATTACGCGGCGATGACAATACAACGCTTTACATAATTTTATTACACCATGAAACTTTGCGATTTCTTTGTCCTAATTACAACGGACTAACTGGCTCAAGCCGACATATACAACGCAGAAGCACACAAATAAGGTGCATAGCCATGAAAATGGTGAGTGCGATTTCAAACGTATGATGGCAATGGTGTAGCAGATATGTTGGCCTGTAAATTACGAAAAGACACGAAAGGAGAGAAAGTATCCATGACATCATCGGCAGTTGTTGGTAATTCTGCGAGGAACGTTGCCGCAAGTGAGGCGCATAAAATCCTTGCGTGGTTTGGTAGATAATGGAGGAAGAGCAGAAGGCCTTCTTAATGGGCAAGTTCTTGCCTGCTAATAATCCTTGTGTAGCCCGGAAAAAAGAGATAACGTACAAGACACACAACCACGCACAACTCCGATTAACAATTCTTATCGAAAGTTTATAACACACTGAATACATGTTCTCACCGGGTAGGCGTGAACGTTACATGTGGCAGGCTACAGGAGGCGCTAGACAGTTCTAAGATCAACAGTATGACTGAAAAACTCCTGTTCCGGGGCACAAGACGCTGGCACACAAGACGCGAGATGCTGTACAAACGCAATCGCTATCACATCTGTTGATAAAACATTTTTGCCTTGTCTACGAAGTGAATGATGGCGACGGAGCTTGCTCTTAACCTGACGGAGCTTGCTCCATCTCTCCTTTTGTCTGTCTCCTATCACACTAAAGCATGCGTGTCCTACGCGTCGGAGTGGATGGATGGATGGATGGATGAATGGATGGATAGATGGATTCATATGGCTGTACCCTTCAGATCAAGCGGTGGCTAACGCCCCCAAGCCGTGATGCGAAGTGAACCAATAACTTTTTTATTTTTTCCCCTTTAAATAGTGCGGTTGAGGATTCGTACTTTGTAGTGAAGGGTTTATTTTCACTCGTGCCTTGACTTTAGCCACGAATCGGATAACCTCCTTCTAGTAATTCTACCCGCTTTGTCTATTTTGCCCTCCCTGTCCCTAAACCCCAGTGCTTTGAAAAGCTATGCGCCATAATCATGAACTATAGGGTGAAGCCCTTTGCAGAACATTATCAAGTGTTCGGCAGTTCCCTCTTCCTCTCCACATGCACTGCACAAGGCCGCATTGCCGAACATCAGGCCAGGAACCATGACCCCTTCCCATATTCCTCTCACAACCTCAGATCTATTGTAATTCCACAGTGCTCTGTTTTTCATCACCGCTGCATTCCTGTTGCCATTAGTCGTCGCGTATATTTCGTGTTCCCTTGGGTACTCAGCCCCATTGCTTATCCATACACCAAGACATTTGTATTTATCTCTTATCTCTAGCGTGACCTCTTGTATTCTAAGCTCACTACGTTCGTTATCATTAAAAATCATGACTGCTGATTTTTTCTTACTGAATCTAAAATCTAACCTATCTCCCTTATTACCGTAGGTGTCCATCAATCTCTGCAGATCTTCCTTGGTGTCGCCCATTAGCACTATATCATCTGCGTACACTAATGCTGGTAGTGCCTGATCAATGAGTTTTCCTTGTTTGACTAAAGAGTGGTTGGAGCCAAGCCCACTTCCCTCTAATTTGGCCTCTAATCATGAATAACAAGGGTGAGAGTGGACATTCCCGCCTAAGCCCCAGTTTCACTTCTATAGGCTTGGATACCTGTTTTATCCACTTTATAACTGGCTTGTTATCTTTAAAGATATCCTTTAACAGATTACGGACTCCATCTTCCACACATAGTGTGTCCAGTATTCCCCACAAGTCCTCTTGAACCACGCTATCGTACGCTTCCTTGATATCCAAAAATGCTAGCCACCGGGGCCTGTGTTCCTTTTCTATTTTAATGCACTGCATCAGTGAGAAGAGATTGTATTCCAACCTCCTGTGTTTCCGAAACCCATTTTGCAGTGCCCCCAGCACCTCTCAACCTCTACTCATGTCTGCAGTCTTTTCTTTATAATCTGCATCGCCAACCTGTAGACCACTGCTTTTACTGTTAAAAGACAGTAGTTGTTTGTCAGCTTTGTCCTCCTTTCCTTTATAAATCATGCTCATCCTGCTAAGTTTTCATCCATCGGGGACTTCACCATCGATTTTTATTTTGCTTACTGTCTCTCAAAGCCTGCTTAGACTTTGGACCTAATGTCTTTATCAGCATAATAAGAATGCCATCTGGGCCTGTTGATGTACTACTAGGAACCCTCTTCTTAGCCCTTTCCCACTCTCGTTGTGAAAATGGAGCCATTTGCCAATTGATTAATCCTTGTCCATTGTGGTGCATGAAGCACTTTGTTGAAATTTTTCTGTCAGCCTTGTTTTTTATATTCAATAGCTTCGTCCCCTTCTAGCCTAGCACCTTGAGCTGTAGTTATAAAACTCTGCTCTAGGCTTGTCTCATTTCTTAGGGAGTTTAGATGGTTCCAAAATTTCGCAGCTGCCTTTCTATTATTTTTTAAGTACTTCTGTTAGCCCTTGAGCTCTCTTTCTTCTAATCTTTTCACTGATCAGAAGGGATGCATCTCTTCTACAGCTTAGAAAGATTTCCCATCTTCTTTCAACATCATCTGTCGGTTCACCCCGCTGATTAGCATGTGTGTGTTCCCTAGAGGCATCCAGATGTTTTCCTAAGGCTCTCTTAACTTCCTCATCTCACCAACTCTTGGGATTGTGTCTTCTTTTTCCGAGTTATTTGTCACGTGCCTTAGCAAGCTCTAGCTCAAACTGTGTAACTAGAATCGTGTATGTAAACACTGTTTTATTATTCTCAGTGATTACTTTCTCAGTTTGTTTAGAAGCTATTTCTATTCGCCTTTCTGAAGAAAACGTTTCTTGTAGTTGCTCAACTTGTCTTCTTCTCACTTTCACTGCTCTTCCAAAACTTAGTTTGATACGTTTGTGATCACTACCCAGATTTCTGGAGCCACCTTCATCTATGTGCATACCTCCGAGCTTATCATACATACTGACATCAATGCGTAATCTATCGTTAACTGCAACCTTCCTACCTTCCATGTTATTTGCCCTTCACACTTCTCGGTATTGTTGCAAATTATCAAATCACGTCTTTCACTTATATCCATGATCATTTTGCCTGTTGAGTCAGTATACTCGTCTATATCTTCCATGTGAGCATTCATATATCATAGTATAATTATCTCGCACTCTCCTCCTAACTCCTGAATGTCCTTTGATGTACACTCTACCATTACCTGGTTTTCCTCTCTGGCCTTTGCTCCCGTCCACAAGTACACGAAACCAAGAAGTGTCATTTGCTCTGCCACTTTCCCTTTTAGCCATAAATGTTCCTTGCACTTCTGTTTGACCCTTTTCCAGTCTGTATTTTTATGAATGAATGCCCCAATACCACCCCCCTTTCTGCTGCGTTCTGTTCGATTACAATATTCCCATGCGTAGTCCGCATTGTTAGGAGGTTGTTCCATGTCCCTGATATGTGTTTCTCCAAAACGGTGTACCATCGGCCTCTCCTCCCTTAGCTGCTCTTCTATCTCTTCCAACTTCAGCCTGTTCCTACCACCCTGCATGTTAATATACCCTATGTCTGAATGTGCTCGGCGCTCGTAGCTACGTCTATTTCTGCCACGGACTCTACCTATCTTATTTACTGGTGCCACTTTGGAATCGTGTCTGTCCATACCACCTGTCAAAAAGTCTCCCTTGTTGTTTCCTTCGTTACTAGCTATCCTACACCCCGAAGGGCCCGCGTGCCCCCCAAAAAAGCTACTGCACGTCCTGCAAGTCGCCAACCCACCTCATGACCTTGCCGCTTATCGAAGTGAATTCTGTCTTCTTGAAAACCACTCCAACTATGCACCTCTTTGTTCATTTCCACCGCCTCAAAGCCTTTTTCTCGACTCATCCGCCATATCTCTTGGTTTGCATTGACAACCGCTCTTTGCAGGTTGCCGTCACGCACCGGTACCTCTGGTATCGTGCACATCGATTCCAGTACCTGAAAAGTGGTGCGCATGTCATCGACCCCTTTCGCCAGTGTGGTCACCAGTCCTGCCGTAACTTCATTTAAGACATCGTTTAAACCACCTGAAATTATCACAAGGTTTCGTCTATCAGCTGTAGTTTTGAGTTTTGCACTCGCTTGCCTCATGACTGTTTCCAGCTTACGTCCTGGGAACGTCCCTACTGCAACCCTCTTGTCACCTCTTACCCTCTCTTTGATTGCTTCGGCGCATCGATTTATATTCGAGTCCCCAGCGATTATCACACGTTGTGACTTTTCAGCTGGAGCGTCCTGCACCAGGGTGTTACTTAAACCTGTGACACCGGCTGCTTTGTCTCCTCCCAGCCTCGCCACTACTTCACTGAAGCTGGGTGTTGCTACAATTGAACCGGCTGAACCTGTTGTTTTTTCTCAAAATTGCTAGCTCTTTCTTCTCCGCCGTTCTGGTTGCCGGTGCCCTACTGTTCTCTCCATAGGTCACTCCTTTGTTCACCTTGACTAGTGCTTTCTCAGCGGACTTTGGACTTTCTCCCATTGCCCTGGTTTTGTCTTGCTCTGTCGCCAATGCCGTATCCAGCTCGGTGATTCTGAACAGCAGTTCACACTGGGCAACCATCGTTTTCTCCATTTTTTTCCTCGACCTCACGTTGCCTACACTTCGCGTCAGC